GGCATCCTCCCATCTCCCTTGTTTTATCAACGTCGCGAGTAATATCTACTCTTGCGCTTTAAGACTTGCAGCGGTGTTGGGTTTGATGGCGTTACGGTGGTTTCGAGATTGGATTCAAACTTCGGCTGATCTTCAAAGTCTTGATTACCGTTATCTTTTTTCTTTTTTTTTTAATGTCAATTTCCTTGTTTTCATGGTACGCTGGCATTCCTCTGTGGTTTATTTGGGCTTTGCTCAAATTAACCATGTGTGATGGACCGACCTTTCATGTGAAATCTGTTTACTTAGTTCAAATAAAATTGTCTTTCATTAAAAAAAAAAAACTTAAAAATGGTATCACAATGCCAACAGGTTTCATCCCACTTACAACCTTATATTATTAGTGCTTGCTCTTATAATTTTTTTTCCTTAAAACCACTCTTATCATAACTAAACGTACCGTATTCCTAAATACTCCTCCGGTCTTTAATATGAAACATATTTAACTAATTTGATTAGATTAAGGAAGTTAGGTAAGTTCGTTAATTATAAAAAATATGATGTTTTTTTTCTAAAACACCATAATTATTTTACTTAATATCTTCCCTCCTTCACTTATTTGATTATGGTTGAGGAAGTATCAATAGGGGTAATTTAGAAAAAATCGATTAATATGAAAAATAAGTTTTATATTTATGACCAAAATTAACTTAACAGTTAGATCCTATATTAAGGACCAGAGGAGTACAAAATTATACTCCTCCGGTCCTAAATATAAGACCCTTTTTATAGTGTAATTTATACTACAAAAGAGATCTTATATTTAGGACCGCAGGATTATAATATGATAAAGATACACAAGGTTGTCTAAGTCATCGGTTGGGAATGTAGGCTAATGTATATGATGGGTTTGGTGGTACTAGTGTAAACATTCTTTAAGATCTATATATATGCTGAGCTGCAGCTATTATTAATATAATATACGGTATTGGGCTCTTGCCTCGTATAAATTATATATGCTTTGTGGTTTACTACAAATGGAGAAGGGTGGGGAACAGATACCTATTGCGGTGGCAGTGGGGAGCAATGATTACCATCTAAGAGTAGGGAACATGGATCATTCCTTGTTGTAATCGAAACCTTCGTTGACCCTTTTCAATCCCTTCAAACCACGTTTCATTATTTCTTATCATTCATCCATTTCGCTAATCATGTTGTGACCCCCCCTTCTCATAAATATCTTGTTCAGTCGACAAACATATAATATCATACTAACAAGTTATTATTGGATGTAATAAGATATTCGTGAAATTCGCTCGTGATTAATTACTTGGCTTGCATGCAAATATATATATGTATTAATAATAATAGTCATTAATTAGATCATGATGAGCACCCATTTATATTCCAGTGGGGAAATGGAGTTTAATTCATGTATCTTGTGATTAGGGTTGGCGGATCATATGATGAAACAGATATGGCCCGTGACTCCGCATGCATATGTGTTCATTGAGACCATATCTCTGTACTCCATTGTCTTCTAGCTTTTAGTGGTGATTTCCGTGTAACTTCCAAATTTTTTTGATTCATTTGTCCCTCACTAACTCCTAACATCCAAAACCACTATTTATTATTTATCCTCTTTCAAGTCTTGGCCTGACTATTACATTTTCCCCAAGTATATATAAATAAGAAGGAATTGGAAGAAGAATGAGAACAGAAAGAGGGGGCAATATATATACTCTTCTGGTCCTATTTATAGGGCAGAGAGAGAAGGTATTTTTTGGTCCTATTTATAGGACATAAAGAGAAATTTTTTATATAGATGTATAATTTTACCCCTTATTTATTATTGTGTTGATTTTGTTTCCATGAAGTATAATGTATATTAAATAATGATAAAGTTGGAAAGTTTTTAAATTTTAAATAAGAGTTAATGAATTTTAAAGTTTTTCTTAATCTGTGTGAAATATAATGAAAGTGCTTTATAAATAGGACTAGAGAAGTGTGTGTGTGTATGGAAGATGGGGATGAAAGAGGAGGTAGCTAGGTCCACGCCTAAGAGAAGGAACAATAGAGAATAGGGGCAAAGGGATATGATGAGGAGGGTTGATTATAAGTGGCTATTATGCAGAGGAGAGAATAATATAATTGGGCATGCAAATGGAAAGCCCTGAGCCGCACAAGAAGTGAGTATAGAGGTCAATTGGAGCTTTTGCCCTTCAATTTACGTAATCCGCCATCTACGCCACCCGTCCCTCCCTCCATTCCCTCATGAAGTGAGAGTTTAAATCATTTTGTTCTTTTTAACAAAGAGTATATACAAAAGCACTTGACATGATATTCACAATCATCACTCTCGTTTAAATCCCTCTCTTCATCATTCTATATCCATGTTCCTCCCCACTCCTTTGCACCCCCCTCCCTATTTCCCTCCAAGGGATTTCTAATGACTTTTTCTTGGAAAAAAAAAAGAATTTTTAAACGACGGTAAATGTGGATGGAAGAAGAGACTGTATATTGTTAATTATTATTATTATTATTATTATTGATGGAAGGGCATGAGCCTTGGGTGGTGAGGGTGGGTTGTGGGATTGTGCCCCCAATGGGATGCAAGTTGCAGAAAGGGAATACCACATCCAATAATATAAAGTTAGAATCCTTTTTTTTTTTAAAAAAAAAAAGTTCTTGCACAACAAAGGTAGAATCCTCGAGTGGCTTCTCTTGTCAACAATTTCATTGTTAATTCTTTTCCATGTCAACTATGTTCCGTTCCTTTTTCCCTTTCTTTTCGGGGGGATTTCATTTTCTTTTAATAATAATAATAATAATCATAATAATCATAATAATTGTTGTTGGGGTTGGGGTTAAAGGGAAGGCCCGTATCCAATGTTGAATTGGGCCTCCATTATCCTGCCTTTGCATGATGTAAATGTTTGGTTGCATGAGGTAAATGTTGAATAGGCAACTGGGCCACTTTTCTCTTGTATGATATCCATAATGTGAGATGAGCCCACTGACTTATGTGGCTTTTAAAAATTGCAACTTCTCACATATTTTATATTAATTAATAATCATAAATTGACACTGTTATTGGTATTAATATTGATATCTGGATTGGAATATCATTATCATTATAAGAAAAATCTATATCTATATATATATTGAGCCATGATTTATGAATATTGTTTTGATCTGATCCGTTTTGATCTGTATATAGAAGCCTATTTTGAGAAGGACATCAAAGCTGACACGCAAAGACTTTGCATTACAGGATTTAATGTCTCCTTCTGCTGTACTAGATATATGTATTTCTAACGTGTAAGGGCTTCGTCATCTGATATTATATGCATAATTAGACTAGAGATTGAATAATGCTGGAAAAAATAAGAAAATCAGCTTAATTACTTGGCCACAAATTTGTTTAAAGCTGAACCTTTTTTGGCAGTCCTGCTTGTGGCTTACCCATCGCACATTCGCACACATTTAGAGGGTTTGGCAACCCTTATAATTATTTTTAAAAAGCATTTTTTTTTGTAAGACGAGATAAACTCCTCTACATATTTACTTCGTAAATTTTAAAAGCACTTTTAAAATCATAGTTTAGTTTCCACCCAAACACTCTTTTGATGAAAAGAAAAAAACTTAAATATACAATACTTCTAACTAATGAATAGAAGCAAGAGTCCAGAGAAAGACATTAAAAAAAAAAAGTAAAGTGGACCATGAGAGGAATTAGAAGCTTTGTTTCCCAAATACTCCTCCAATCCTTAATATAAGACCTAATTGTTGAATTGGTTTTAGTTCTAAATATAAGACCTATTTCTCATATTTATCAATTTTCTCTAAAGTACCCCTATGGATACTCTCTCAACCATGATCAAGTAGAAGAGAGAGGGGATATTAAGAAAGATGATTATGGTATTTTAGGAAAAACGTGTCATATTTCTTATAATTAACTAACTTACCTAACTTCCTTAATATAATCAAATTAGTTAAATGGGTCTTATATTAAGAATCGGAAGAGTATTATTTCATTGCTTTAAAGAAAAGAAGTCTTCGTCCTTTTACGACTCTCTTGGTTACTACTCCTCAATTTAAATATAAGACTCTTTTTATAGTGTAAATTACACTACAAAAAGAGTCTTATATTTAGGACCAGAAGAGTATATCATATGACTCTAGCCTCCTCTACTTAGAATTTTTTATTCCTCACGTCATGTTATAATCTAATGTTGTTTTCCATCTTCTTAAGTTAACCTATCATATTCATCTGCTAAAATTTTATCTAATTCGTGGGTTGCTTACCTCACACAACAGACTTTTCTAACCTCTTTAACAATATTCAACGGTGTTTATTAGAGACCTTTTGGCTTTTTAAAATTTGCAGGCCACGAACGGCGGGGAGGTTTCTAAGAAAAAAGGTAAGTGCTGGGATCAAAATAAAATTCAGTGAAACTATTGGGCCTAGAGGTTTAGTTGTCCCGGTGTATCATTTCATTACTTTAAAGAAAAGAAGCCCGCCTTCTTTTTTCAATTGGGCCATTTAGATCTATAGATGGCCCTCCAAGCCCTACCAGTCGGCGCCAGCCCGCCTGATTCGATTTGAAGTGAAAATAATGCTTTGTCGTTATTCTCCGTAGTAAATAAAATATCAAGATTAAAAAAATTTGTTAAGTTATTTATTTATAATAAATAGGTATTATTTTTTAAAATATTTTTACTAATCAAGTGTATTAGGTAAAATTATCATTATTACAAGAATTATTTAAAAATAAATAAATAAAGATAAAAATAAAATAAATTAATATTAAATATAATATCAAAATAAAATAGACGAGTGGAGGGAGCGTGACAAGAAAAATAATAAAATATGTTGACCATGGAGTAATATCCAAGTATTAACAATTATCAACAATATTCTCAACGAAAGGGAATATTTTCGAGCTGTGCCTCAAAAGTTCATCAACCTTTGCGATAAGTGTATAAAACACCACGCTACTGAGCTCAGTAGGCAAACAGTCAAAAAGCGGAGTTCCTTGGGATCAATGGCAGAGAACAGACTTTGTTCTCTTCTCCTTTCTCTCCTCATTACCATCATCATCTCGCGTTCTCCACAATCACTCGCATCACCAACCTACAGGTACCCACGATTCCTTGGAAAGTTCTCAGGTCAAACGAAACCGCACCCTCAGATTCAGCCACAATACGAAACCCAATATTTCGAGCAGCGTCTTGATCATTTCAGTTTCGCGGACCTCCCCAAATTTCGGCAGCGTTATCTTATCAACACTAAGGACTGGGTCGGTCCTCAGCGCTTGGGTCCTATTTTCTTTTACTGCGGCAATGAAGGGGATATTATCTGGTTCGCTGCCAATTCTGGCTTTATTTGGGAAATCGCACCTCAGTTCGGTGCCATGGTTGTTTTTCCCGAAGTAAGTATTCATGTACTTAGTAGCTTAAATTTTGCATGCATCTTTTCTGTTGTTTCTATTTGAGATTAAATTTTGCTTGGTCCTTGTATGGCAGCATCGATACTATGGCGAATCTGTGCCATTCGGAAGTAAAGAAGAGGCATATAAGAATGCTACTACACTGTCATACCTTAATACAGAGCAGGCGCTTGCTGACTTTGCCGTTCTGCTTACCGAGCTGAAGCAAAATTTATCTTGCAAGGATTGTCCCGTTGTGCTGTTTGGCGGATCATATGGTGGAAGTAAGTAACCTGTTGCTTGGGTCTTTTATATATGCATATTTCAACTTGATTGACTATAAGTGGACTTCATGATAATTTTTTTTTTTTGGGACCAATCCATAACAATTGCTGAGCGAAATTGTAAGTGAGAGAGGGATGTGTGGTCTTTTTCACTGTAAAAGGAGAATTGTGCTAAAAGAAGTTTTACGACGAGTTCTTGTTTTACATTAAACTTTCTGTTTCAATCGGAATCAGTTATCATTTATCACTGACGTGGCTTGGCATTTCTAGGGGTCGGCCTAGTGCATTTTTTTGGCTTCCGAGCATCATTAACGACTCCTCTCTCAACTCTTTTCAATTTTATTTTTTTTTATCTAAAACAGTGTTAGCAGCATGGATGAGACTCAAATATCCTCATATTTCAATTGGAGCACTCGCTTCTTCGGCTCCAATTCTTCAATTTGAAAACATTGTGCCCCCCGAAACATTTTATGATATCGTTTCGAATGATTTCAGGGTAAGATAGTCTGCCAGTCTTTGCTGTTGTCATCTTTATTTGTGTGATATTTTGCATATTAACAATTTCACTCTTTTATGCCAATAGCGTGAAAGTTCTAGCTGCTTTAACTATATAAAGCAGTCCTGGAGTGAGCTAAAATCTAAGGGTCAGACAAATAATGGCCTTGAGGAACTCACGAAAACTTTTGGCTTTTGTCGGTGAGGCATTTTTCTGTACAGAAATGCCCGTTTTTGCATTACATGATGACGAATGGTGGTCTATATATTGTGCTATCTTGTTCTGCCCATTACATGAACTAATTGAAGGCAATTATTAGGCAATTGAAGAGAACAGAGGATCTTTCAGACTGGTTGGAGTCTGCCTATAGTTATTTGGCAATGGTGAACTATCCATATCCTGCTGACTTTATGATGCCTTTGCCTGCACACCCCATCAGGGAGGTTAGTTTGATTTCATGACATAAGATAAATTATCTTATAATACCTACAGGGTTGTTTTTGATGTTGTCAAATTTTCCTAATTTATGTTAATGTTGATATTCCTATCTCAAAATCAGTTGGTTTTCGTGGTACTGATGAGGAGGTGAATCTTATGAGGAAGTGTCCTGATCGTTATAGCTGGTTAATATGATCATACATCTTTTCATAGGTTTGCAAAAGGATTGATGATTGTCCTGCTGGAACTAGCATTTTGGAGCGCATATATGAAGGAGTGAATGTCTACTACAACTATACAGGAGACGCTAAATGTTTTGAACTGGATGATGATCCTCATGGCTTGAGTGGCTGGAACTGGCAGGTATACAGGAGTCTTAAAGCTCAATTGCATAAATTTCTTTGACAAATATGTTCTCATACTAAATTGATTTCCATCTTTCCAAACCCATGATGCAGGCTTGCACCGAGATGGTTATGCCAATGTCTAGTAGCGAGGAGTTGAGCATGTTTCCAAAATTTGACTATAATTATTCTTCTTATCAAGAGGAATGCTTGAAGAATTTTGGAGTGACTCCGAGGCCAAAATGGGTTACTACAGAATTTGGTGGCCATGTAAGTGAATGGTACATTACTGTTTATCAACACCTCCCCCCAAAAACGGAAACCACCAAAAGAAAAATGTAGCAGATGCTCTGATATAGGGCGCGATGATGACAAAAACTAAACTTTGACTTGATGAAACATGCACATCTAACTTTTTCTGAGTCATTAGGTTTCTAAGTGATTCCTCTGTAAGATGATAATACTAATAAAAACAATGGACCAGTCGCTTGGTTTCTCAGTTATTTATGCATCTATGATCTAATTATCTAAATGGCATTATAAGGGAAGGGGACACTTTGTTTTAATAAAACCACTTCATACTTTCAGACTTAAAGACAGATGGCTGATGTTTTAAAATGTAATATCCCCTTGATAATTCGATTATATAAAATACAAGCTTGCACCCCTTCTTAAAAGCTTCATTCTGATATTTTTGTGTTTTTGCCTCCTTTTTTTCTTTGTTTTCTTTTTTGGGCTTTTGTTTTGAAGGATATTGATGTTGCGTTGAAGAAATTTGGTAGTAATATAATTTTCTCAAATGGCCTATTGGATCCATGGAGTGGTGGCAGGTGACAAATTCACTCTGATAATATCTTAATTCTCGATTTTTATATTTTTGAAATACTACCTTAGATTCTAAATATTTGATCTAGTTTAGGGCCAGAGGTAGTAAAATTTTCAACGAGGTTGAATTTTGGGAAAATCACTATGAAGTCCTGACAGAGGAATATAATCACCAAAAAGTACCAATAACAAGTGAGTAGCATAGAATTGTTGTCATTTCCTACACAGGAACTTGTTACTGCATGCTGCTTACTTGTTGTGAGACTTTTTAGTGAGTACACTCCTTCCTTGTGACCTCATAGTGATTCTCCCTTGAATTTTTGATAATTATTTGAATTCTAAGTATCAAAGTTGTTTCTGTTGCAGTGTTCTGCACAACATATCTGAAAGTATTGTTTCTCTTGTCGCTGAAGAAGGTAAAGAATTTGAAATTTTTGAATTTATGAGCAGTCTGTCGTGTGGGCCATATGACAAGCCAACTATGCATCTCACTCATTTGTGGCCTGTAATAAGTCCTTTTTTGTGGTTGAGAAATGCGATTGACATTATTTCTTTTTATAATGCAATCAAACTGATAATTTCTCAAACCTCAGGGTCCTTTGTATCCATTAACTCGTGTGCTAGATGACTAGAAGCATCCTTGATAGCAATCATAATTATTGCATAATTATGCATTTAGGATAGGTGTGACTGATATATGTTAAGTAGCAAAAGATAATATGATTTTGAGGTATGAAGTCTGGTTTACTCATATTCGCAGCTTTTTCAGTTGTTCCGTTCACTGGTTGGACTGGAATCTAACAACCTACGGAACTTTAATTATTCATATTCCCCTTTATATTTCAGTGATAATCTTTGAGCTTGTAGTCTGTTCGTAGGAGCAACATCTCAGTCTATAATTTCAATGACCATTGTCTTATGTTATCAAAGTACGAGTGTCTTATCTAGCATTTTGTGCGTGACTGCTGCCTTTGGATTTGCTAACTATTGTATTTATGTTCTGGTTGGTGTCCTGGGTGATGGTAACGTGCAGTCATCAAGAACCTTCGAAATCTCTTTATTAGCAGCTGCATTCTTTTATTTATGTTCATTTATGCGTGGTTGAGGGTCCCCCCCCCCCCCCCCGGGGTTTTCAATATGCCAGCGATGGTAAAATTTTCTAGACATGCCTTTTTATATCCTACAACGGTTTGGAAAATTAGACTGATCGCCTGCCACTCTGCAACTTCCTTATGAAACTTTTAGCTGCAGGATGGCATTCAATATATATCTCACAACAGTCTGCAGATTGGTTTATCAATGAAGCATTCAACAAGCTCTTAAGTCCCCTTCTCCACTTTAATAGGCAAACTTAAATTTAAGTCTTTCACAATTTTTTATTAGGTGCGCACCACATAGATTTACGTGCTGCTGGCCCCGATGATCCTGATTGGTTGGTAGAGCAGAGGGCAACTGAGATCAAGCTAATAGAAGGCTGGATTAATGACTACCACAAACTTAAAAAAGCTACGTATAGTATGTAGATTTAGATGTCGGTGCTTGTCTGGTTTCAACGTGGTATCCCTTCTTGCATCACCACCGTCTGCTTCTATGGAGGTCTTAAATCTACACGCGTAGTAGTCTATGTAAACCTTGGATGCATACTTTTGTAAATAGCTAATGAAATATTTTCCATATCATCTCGTTGGTTCTTTTAAGCTTGTAACTCTTCCTTGAGTACGGCTTTGTTTCACATTCTTCAGTGATTATTGTGGGTGCTTTTTTATTTTCTTTTGTGTCCAAGGTCGGGCCATTGTTTTGCTTCCCATCCATTTTTCTCATATTTGTTATTCGTCAATCCATGGCTTGTCTTTAAATTATCACTTATTAAGCATCAAATATAGTAGTGTTTAGTGATTAGTATAATTTCACATAATCCTAGGCCAAACGTTAGATGTCAACCATACTAAAAGTAAAATTATCAATTAATTTCCTATATAAATATTGGAAAAAAATATAGTTAGTGATAATATTCAATAGCAAAGTCCCAATAGATCTTGTGTACCTTGGACTCCCGCAGACCCTAATTTAATAAACCCTTGTAACTGGATGACCTTTTCCTTTTGCTTTGGGCAATACTTTGGGGAATCAGTGGCACAGAATAATATGGGTTAAAGAAAAGAAAAATCAGTTACTTTCCAGTTTTGTTGGGATTTTTATAACACACAATAGCTGGAACTGTGGCTTTATATTGATATTATTTTCGATCCTTAATATAAATCTTAGTTGGCTAATCTAAAAAGATTAAGAAAGTTACTAAAATGCTTAATTATAACATATGGTACATAATCTCTTTAAAATACTTATATAGTTTATTAGATTATAAATCAATTTATAAGTGTGACAAATTATTTTAGAAACAAACGATAATTACAAGTAATTTAAAGTAATTTAGCAATTTTTTTAATTTTTTTTTCAAATTAACCAACTAGGTTTTGTATTAAAGATTAGAGACAATATTATTAACCACTGATATAGTTAATCAAGTCAAATGCTAGAAGCCAAAGGTGACATATTGGTTGGAAGCATTGGTCTGTACATTCCAGTTTCTACTTTAGGAATTATCCTGTTCGCTATCTTTTTGAGGGAACTACCTAAAGTTCCATTGAAACCAAACACGCCCTCGTGACCCTCGTTTCACTGTCATAACACGAACACAGCAACCCTAAATTGTTGAGTGTTGTGGATCCGCAGAGGGTCCAGAGAGAAATCAAAGAGCTGAGAGTGTGAGAGAGAAGAATGATCCATGCGCAACCCGCACCTCTCTCTCTCTCTCACGTAACAACTTTCTATTCCCCCCCAGTCTCCAAGGGACATGTTTAACACGTGCACTGCGACGGTGATTAGTCAAATGGGCCTGACTCCCATTTTGGTCCAGATTCTCGTTCTCCTTATGGCCATAAGAGTGCCCCCCGTAAAGCAGCGACCTTGTCCTCAAGGTTCACACATGTCATTGGCAAATTCCCGTGTGGGTGATTCTCCTCCATCGCATTGGACCAGGACCTGTTGCACCCAGTTGCCTTTCTGCTTGATAACACGGATATCTATTTTTTTTCCCCTAAAGCAGAAGTATCCACTTATTTGAGGCAATCTTATTCTAGGTACTATCATGCACTAAATGTAGGCATCTCTCCTAGTGGGAATTCGAATCTTGATTCACCACATTGTAAAAGATTAATTCCTTTTGCTAGACCCAACCCCGCTGGTTCCGAATGTCTAACATTACATTGGATTGTAGCATAGGACCTTTGGGATCACATATATTCTTCTAATCCTATTTATAAGTTACTTCCAATATGTTTTATATAGATTAAGAAAAATCATAAACTTTATTAACTCTCATTTAAAATTTAACAACTTTCCAATTTTATCTTTAATTAATATACATTATACCTTATGTAAACGAAGTTAATACAATAACAAAATAAAGGGTAAACTTATATATCCATACAAAAAATTTCTTTTTGTGTCTTGTAAATAAGACTAAAAAATGTCTTCTCTTTTTGTCTTATAAATAGGATCAGATGAGTAATATTTATATATAAAGTGGCATTTTGTGCATGACTGCCGCCTTTGGATTTGCTAACTATTGTAATTACGTTCTGGTTGGTGCCATGGGATGTGGTGGTAACGTGCAGTCATCAAGAACTGTCCATATCTCTTTATTAGCAGCTGCATTCTTTATTCATGTTCATTTATGCGCGGTTTAGGGTGTTTCTTCCTTACTGTTTTCAATATGCCAGTGATGGTAATATTTCCTATACATGCCTTTTTGTATCCTACAACTGTTTGGAAAATTTGATTGACCACATGCCAGCCTGCAACTTCCTTGTGAAACTTTTAGCTGCAGGATGGCACTCAAGTTATAGCTTATATACAACTGTCTGCAGATTCTTTAATAGGCAGACTTAATTTAATTCTTTCACAGTTTTTTATTAGGTGCGCACCATATAGACTTGTCATTTACGTGCTGCTGGCCCCCATCATCCTGATTGGTTGGTAGAGCAGAGGGCAACTGAGATCAAGCTAATTAAAGGCTGGATTAATGACTACCACAGGCCAAAAAAAAAAAAAAGCGACATATAGCAGTATGTAGATTTCAATGTTGGTGATGACCACCGTTTGCTGCTATGGAGGTCTTAAATCTTCACGCGTTGCAGTCTATGTAGACCTTTTTTTTGGTCAAAAAAAGATACTCCTCCGGTCCTTAATATAAGACCCATTTAACTAATTTGATTAAATTAAGGAAGTTAGGTAAGTTAGTTAATTATAGGAAAAGTGTCACATTTTTTCCTAAAACACCATAATCATCTTTCTTAATACCCCTTCTCCCTCTTCTACTTGATTATGGTTGAGAGAGTATACATAAGGGTATTTTAGAGAAAATTGATAAATATGAGAAAGGGGTCTTATATTTAGGACCAAAACCAACACAAGAATTGGGTCCTATATTAAGGACCGGAGGAGTATTATAAAAACTATAACCAGCCTATGTAAACCTTGGGTGCATGCTTTTGTAAATAGCTAATGAAATATTTTCCATATCATCTCATTGTCGGGCTCTTTAAGCCTGTAACTTTTTGGGTACAGCTTTGATTCACATATACTACTTTTGATCTTTAATATAAGAGTTAATTTAACTTTCATTTTGATATTAAATATAAGACTTCAATTCACTTCGTTTCTTATTTTTATCTTTTTTCCCCCCTAATGTAGTCTTTGTAATAATTATAGTTCTAACTAATACACTTGATTAGAAAGGATAATTTAGGAAATACGACACATATTTATATAAACAACTAATTTTAACTAGTTTTATTAATCTATTCAAATTAGTTAATTAGGTCTTATATTAAAAACCGGAAGTGGTACTTCAATACCTAATGATTTTGTATGCTTGTTTTATGTTCTTTTGGGTCCAATGTGATCCTTGTTTTGCTCCCTATAAATTTTTCTCATATTTCTTATGCATCAATCCGTGGTTTGTCTAAAGTTATCACTTATCTGGCATCAAATCTAGTTTAGTGTTTTGTAATTAGTATAATTTGACATGATCACAGGCCAAAAGTTAGATGTCAACCATGCTAAAAGTTAAATAAGCCCTAGTAATTAGATGATCTTTTCTAGGGCTGGTAATACGGGTTTGCGGGTTGGCCCGTAGCGGGTTGAACTCATATGGGTTGGTGGGTTGGCTCGCCAATCCGCCAACACTTTTTTTTCGGTAAATTTTTTTAATTTTTAAAATATTTTTTTCTTATATAATATTCAAAAATAATAATAAAATTTTTGTTTTTTCTTGAAATATTTGATTGAAAGCACCAAATAAATTATGTAGGTATTTTCTTTTATTTTTTAGATAAGATATAATATATAATAATGTAATTATAATAATTAAAAAAATAAAAAAAATGCGGGTTAGCCTGCGAGCTGGCTGGCTAACCCGTGGCGGGTTGCGGGCTTGGCTGAGTGGGTTCAAAAAGCTCGTTTACTGGCGGGTTGGTTTTTAGCCAACTCTAACCCATCATTTTTTACGGGTTGGTAGGTTGGACCCGTGGGTACAATCCATATTACCAGCTCTAATCTTTTCCTTTTGCTGGCCACCTTTTCCTTTGTGCAAGAGAACTATGAGGAGTATAAACCCTAGTAATTTCCAGTTTTGTTGGAATGTTTACAACACACGACAGCTGGAACTTCAACTTTTGATTAATATTATTAATGCTTGATGTAGTTTATCAGCCCGGCATGCTAGAGGCCAGAGGTGACATGTTGCTTTTGATTTTAGCAGTTTAGTTTGTTGATTTTTTTGGCGTAAAAAATTAATTAAAATACTCTCCAATCCACGATATCTTTATCCATTTCTCCAAGTAACCGAGGTTGTGTGCTTGTATATTTTAAAAGGGAAGATGCTCTTTAATACTTCCTCTTGTGTTATACTTCAGATAACCAGATCATGTTTAACAAACTAACAATTAAAATTAATTAAAATAATAAAATAGGTCAGAAATATATTTTTATTTTTGAGAAAATTAATCTTTTGGTTCTTTAATTTTTAACTCAATTATGACTCAATCTCTCAACTATGATTCAGTATGACTCAACCCCTCAACTTTTAACTCGTTTAAAACTCAGTTTCTCAAATTTTTTTTAATAAATTAATCCCCATCGTATATAAGTCACTTTGAGTCATCACTTAGTTATGCTTTATGTTATGTGGCAAAAATTCTTGCTGACATGGCTTCCAACGAAGCTATCCTCGTTGATCACCCAAACAGTCCCTCTCGTTTTCCTTTCTTCTTCTTGACCTCCACCTTCGCGCACTCACAGCATGGGCACCCATTCTCCTTCACCTATAGCTTCAATGTTCACCTCTCATAAGTTTTTTTTTTCCCCCGCTCCATTCAATAGTTGTTTCACCGCCGGCCATGGGTGATGAAAAGTAAGCTTCGGAATCATTTATAGCAGCAAGGGACGAGTGATGTATGAGCGCCATGAGCCATGTATGCAAAAAATTCACAATTACATTCTTGCCAGAACCACCTGATGACACCAGTATAGTCAGTTAGCAAATTTTTTCTAAGCTAGCGAATCTTTCTTGTCGAAACATTTTTAGCTTTCCCGCACCATGAATGATGTATGAGCCCTGAGAACTAAGTTTTGAAATCTCTTAAATCTGAAAATAATCAGAGAAAGGGAAGGAAGGGTTAAAGGAAAGCTGAGAAAGCTGCAACGGAATGGAGTGAAAAAAACTCATGGGGGGCCGAACATTGAAGTTATAGGTGAAGGAGAATGCGTGCCGACACTGTGTGCGCGCGAAGGCGGAGGTCAAGAAGAAAGGACAACGAGAAGGACTGTTTGGGTGATCAACGAGGATAGCTTGGTTGGAAGCCATGTCAGCAGGAATTTTTGCCACGTAACATAATTAAGTGATGACTCAAAGTGACTTATATACGATGAGGATTGATTTATTCAAAAAAAATTGAGGGACTGAGTTTTAAACGAGTTAAAAGTTGAGAAACTAAGTTATATTGGGTTATAGTTGAGGGGCTGAGTCATAAATGAGTTAAAATTTGAAAGAACAAAAGATTAATTTTCCTTTATTTTTTAAATTTACCCTTCTTTATTAAGAGAGTAAACAAGAGAGACAATAAATGAAAAAATATAATGAAAGAGAATATATGAAAATAATATTAATAAAAGAGAGGGAGTACTAAATACAGTCAACTAAGGATAAAAAAAAAATACTCAGACAAACTCACAAATCAAGTTTATATGCTGGACCAGATTCTTCCCCAAAAGTGAAACTTATACATAAAATCAGTGGTAATATAATATTTTTATTTAGCTACATTAAACAGTTTTATAATGCCCACAAAGAACATGGAAATTGGAATGCACCCCTTTCCAATACCTTTTGAGCCGACAAAACATGCGTGTCTAAGTGTTTTCTTTTCATGTGCAGCAGCCAATTATAATGGTTTTCCATCGATAATGTTGCATGTGACGACCATTATTAATCCTCTAAATTAAACGTACTTGTTGGCACTTTTTATTAGGGCGACGTTGCTATTTCAAGTGTGGCAGAGGAATTACACCTCAATTAGATTTTTTATACTCCATCTGGTGTTTATTACAAGAGTCGTTCCAAAGGAAATTTTTAATCATTTTTATGAGATCTTATAATAGTTTCAATAAGTATTTCATATATGCCCATATTTAATAAGAGTAGTAAGAGAGCATAAATTAATACTCCCTCCGGTTCTATATATATACTTCATTTTTGAAAAATGGTCTGGTGAAAAATATAAATTTATTTTTGAGTTGTTTAAGTTTTTATTATTTTTTTTTTTTCTTCTATTTTATCCTTAAATGACTATAAGATGACCATATTTATGCTCCCTCTCTCTCATCAATATTATCCCCATATATTCTTTTTTTTATTTTATTTATTTATTGTCTCTCTTGTTTATTCTCTTAATAAATAAGGATAAATTTTAAAAAAATACATTTATAACTTATTTATTATTTTAAATTAATTTTTAACTATTAATTTGTTAAACGTGATTCGATTATTTAAAGTTTATATATAAAACCGGATGGAAGGGAAAAAATAAAAAAAAATCTATTTATCATTATTTTATATGTGAAAAACAGTGACAGGTGATGGATAATAAGGACGAAAGTGGCAGAGAACAAGGATCGTACCCCTCTCTAAATAGAGCAAGTGGCTCGTCGATCAAGATCGATCTTCTCGCCTTATTTATGGCGGCTGAAGATTGATGTGCGGCAATCATCTTTAATAAATATATCTTCCCGGGCGTTTTGGTGATGATTAATTCAAAGCAAGAGGGTACTGTATGACGGGTTGAATCAATGAAAACAATACTCACAGCGCAAATTCACATAACTAACTCGTAATCACGTGCTACTCCATCTTTGTCTTCGAAAAAAACGTAACCCTAGTTATAATTTATAAATATAGGAACTTAATTTATTTTATTTTTTAAATTTATATTTTTTCCTTAAATTTTTTTAGAGAAAACCATATTGGAGGTACCTATCCTTTCTCTCAATTTTTAATTTGGTACCTGTGTGTTTTTTTCCCTTTAATTAAACATTTAATTTTATCTTTTTAGCAATATTAGCTCTTATAACTTTGTTCTATTGATATTTTAGTCTCTACATAAGGATTAATGATGTTAATAGAGCAAAATTAAAGATTTAGTTAAGAACAAAAAACACATAGGTACCAAATTGAAAATTAAGAGAAAGTATAGTACCTCCAATATGGTTTTTTCAATTTTTTTATATGCATATAAGGGATATTCATTAATAGCTAGTTTCCTGTTGCAAATAAAAATAGGATGGTTTTGGAAAACTTAATACATATTTTTATATAAATAATTAACTTAACTAATTAATTTTTTTAATTTTAATGATTAATTAACTAATTCTTATATTTATTATATTTTTTTGGTAACCACCTAAACTTAAAGTATAATAAAAAAAATAGTTTAATTATTGGATAATATAAGTAACCATACATAGTTTTCCCTGGAATACGTAAGGTGCATTTCGGAAGAATTTTATATTCTACCTCCTCTCTTTAATATAAAATCCAAATAATTAATATGTGGATATTAAAAAAATTAATAAGATTATTTATTTGTAATAAATAATCCTTTTAATCTTATTCATCAAAAAATCTTATACATTAAAACTAGGGTTAAGGTGTATTTAATACTATAACGTATTTTTTCATGTGTGCATCTTGAAGTATTTTCAGGGACATCCAGAATTTTGAAGTATTTTTAGGGTGGTGAATGCACCTAAAAAAATACTTTAAAATACTAAATGCATCTTAACTCTTGAAACTATTTTTTTTGTGAGACTCTTGATATGCGCAAACAATAGAGATTCTTTTTAAAAAAAATTATAAGTTTGTGAGACAAAACAAACCGAGTTATTGTATTTAGAGCCAAATAAATCTCTTGTTTAGCTCCTACATCGAGAATGTTGTAGTTCAAAACAGGTTATATTTAGATTATTTTAATTATCTTTTCAAAATTATTATTTGAAAAAAAGTCTCACAAACTAATAATACAAAGATCGGTTGAAAAATATTTGAAACAAAAATAGTAACTTATGATATTTCTACTTGTTTCTCGAACAAAAATATTAATAGTACTCCTTTTAGTTTTTATTATAAACTTCAAATAATTAATTTATAAATAATGAATAATTAGTTAAAAATAATAAATAATTTTAAATATATATTTTTAAATATGTTCTTATAATAAATTAAAAAAAATGATGAAAGAGAATGTGTGTAGAAATGTAATAAAAAAATTAAGGATAATATTAGAAAAAAGTGTATTAAATATAAAAATAAACCCAAATTAAAGTTTATAAAATGGACCACACCCTTTTTCAAATTTGAAACTTAACCAGAGAAATATTAATAGTAAGCGCTATTAATATGAAATTGAAATATTATAATAAAATAATTAAATTAATGCTTTTAATTTAGGGGGCGTTTGGATGGAAACCAAACTATATTTCAAAAGTGATTTTACGATATACGAAGTAAATATGTGGACGAAATTTATCTTGATTTATAAAAAAATACTTTTCAAAAGTACTTCTTATACCACCTAAACAGCTCTTTAATTTTGAATTCAATAATTGTGCAAGAACTTAATTTGAATTCAAAACAATAGAATCATCAATGACGTTGGCGTCATTAATAAGATTGGGATGTGGAATCAATTTTCTTTTATATTTGATAGATTCTTTATTTGGAGGTGTTACTTTTTAAAAACATTTTTTTTATAAATGAATTTCCCTGCATATTTATCTGTATATCGTCAAATTATTTTTAAAATCATCCCTACACTATTAAACATTGAACAGGAAATCAAAAAAATAAAAAGAATCCCGGCCAAATTACAACTGAAATACAGGAATCTGGGCCATAAAGAATTATAAAGCGCCAACGATCACTTTACTCTCACCGTTGGCCAAGAAAAAAAGGAAGGAAGAAAAGAAATAGTCTCAGTAGTAAAGCTGTCTCCACTTTCATCTTTGAAGGCACAACCGGGAAAGCCATCGGGGTGGTGGGGTTCTAAGGAAGTGTCGCGAAGGATTTATCTGCGTTTTTGAGAGCTGAATCCGAGAACCACAAGACCAATTGGACTTTAGGGTTTTCTGGCAATTGGGGGAAGCGTAGATGGCGACTCCTTCTCCTTCTGCTCAGCCCTTGTCAATCACTCCCCGTTCTAGGGTTAGAAGCCCTCTCAGTGACGATGAGATCTGGTTGCGCCTCAAACGAGCTGGCTTGGACGAGGAGTCGATTAAACAGAAGGACAAGGCGGCGCTTGTGGCCTATATCGCCAAGCTCGAGGCTGAGGTTTGTTCTTTGTTATCTTCTCTTTATGAAATTCTCTACTTTAGGACTTCACCTCCTGGGAGAATTGGGAAAGATATATTGATGTCGAATTTCTTACTGGAAGGTGAAATGCAGTGATTCCTCTATTTCGTGTGAACTTTACTGTACTTTTCTAATTTATTCTGTACGATTACATTTCTGTTTTTAGTTATGACTTTATCGATTGCCTCCAAAAAGAAAAATAACTTCAATAATGCGCATTAAAAATTGTTCGTCACGGCTTGTCATGTTAATCAATATGTTCTGCTGTAAGATATACTTTACTGATGTGCCTGAAAGTCAGTAATGCGTAGAATGGTATGTTGGCGATCCTAATGTGAGATTTTTTTGCGTGTTGAAGCTTTATTATATGCCTATGAAACTAGACTTACTGGTTAAGTGTGGGTTCATTGGTCATGTATATCGCCACCTGACTAATAATTAGCTGATTAGAACCGGGCCATTATACGATTCTAATGAAGCAAAAGTCATCGTGATGCAAACTGATGATGGGAACTTTTTTCTGACCCCGTTTTGAGCCCACAGCCAATCTCTGCTGTATTGTTTTCCCCTAAATTTGATTTGAGGTCTTCGTAATTTTTTTTCCCACCTGAATACTCTGTAAACACGCTTATCTTCAGGTTATCTTATTTTAATAGATGCACTCATAAGTTTCCCTTATGCAAGTGCTTGTGAAACTCCTTATTCTTTTCAATGGGTATGATATATCTGACTTATATACTTAATGTAGATCTATGATCATCAACACCACATGGGCCTTCTCATATTGGAGAGAAAAGAATTGGCTTCCAAGTATGAGCAACTCAAGGCTTCAACTGAATCTTCTGAGTTGTTTCATAAACGTGATTTAGCTATGCAGCTGTCTGCTTTAGCTGAAGCAAGGAAACGAGAAGAAAATTTGAAAAAGACGGTGGAAGTGAAAAAAGAGTGTATAGCTAGTGTAAGCTTGTTGAATATAGTTTTCTTTTTATATAAATTACTAATGTCTTCTTGCATGTTCCTATAATTACTCTGGCAGTCTGATCTTTTAGGTCATGATTTTTATCAATTTCTGTAGCTTGAGAAGGCCTTGGGTGAGATGCGTTCTGAATGTGCTGAAACAAAAGTTGCAGCTGATAGTAAATTTGCTGAAGCCCATCGTTTGATAGATGAAGCACAGAAGAAATTTACTGAGGCTGAGGCCAATGTGCGTGCTGCTGAATGTTTACAAGCAGAAGCTAGTCGATATAACAGTGTTGCAGAAAGGAAGCTTCGGGATGTTGAAGCACGTGAAGATGACCTTCGGAGGCGTACCATATCTTTCAAGTCAGAGTACGTATTATCATCATGATGTTGGTTGTGCTGATTATTTATCATCTGTGTCCCATTTGTAGGCTCATTCTTCACATCTTTGCGCATCTTCTCATGATAATATATCATTACAATTACGATATTATGTGTAATTGAGATGACGCTGGAAGTTTTATCTTCTTTTAGCAACAAATCGATTGTCATAAAGTTCAGAAATTGTTTTTGCTTCCATTTTTTTTCTTCATATTCTCATATTCTGCTTCAGTGATTGTTATGTTTTTTCAAGCTAGATATTCTTTACATTGTTAATCTCTATCTCTCAGATGTGATGAAAAAGAGAAGGAGCTGATTCTTGAGAGAAAGTTGCTTTCTGAAAGGCATGAAGTTTTGAAGGAAGAACAGGAAAGGTCACTTGAAGCACAAGCTTCTCTCAATGAGAGAGAGGAGCACATTTTTAATCGATCTCAGGAACTAAACCAGCTTCAAAAAGAGTTAGAGGACTGGAAAGTGAAAATTGAAAGTGAACGAAGAGCTCTTCATGATGAGAAAACCAAACTGGAGCTGATGGAGGCCACCCTAACACAAAAAGAAGAGGTTCTTATTTTTCAAACTCTTGGTCGTGTGACTCGGGTCAAAATGAAACAATTATTAAGTAATTACTATCCTTGTCTTGTTCATGTATTAACTGGTATTGTTTGAAAACAGGCACTCACTAAACGGGAAAATGAGCTGAACAAGAAAGAGCAGGAGTTTGTTAGCTATCAAGAGAAACTTGCCAGCAAAGAATCAGTATGTTCTTCCCTAATTCTTCATTGTTTATAAACTGGGTGGATTATGTGGATGAGGCTGTATTCAATGTTCTACAGGATGAGTTGTATATTCTTATAATCATTTCTTTTGCCTTTTTGGTTGATCATGTAGGATGAAGTTCAGAAAGTTATAGCTGATCAGGAAGCTGCATTACTATCAAGAAAATATGATTTTGAAGCTGAGCTACAATTGCAGCGTAAATCAGTTGAAAATGAAATTGAGACCAAGAGACGGGCCTGGGAATTGAAGGAAGTTGACCTAAAGCAACGGGAAGACCAAATCCAAGAAAGAGAGCATGAGTTGGAAATTCTGTCAAGATCTTTGGAGGAGAAGGAGAAGGAACTTGGGGAGTTGTCAGTCGTTCTAGAAGGGAGAGACCATAGACTGAGAGCTGCTGAAAAGGAGTTTGAGTCAAATAAAACCCTTTTAGATAAGGAGAAAGAAGAGATTGGCAAAACAAAGGAAGATCTTGTGAAGTCTTTGGATTCATTGGAGAGTAAAAGAAGGCAAGTTGATCATGCAAAAGAGAGATTGGAGGCCATGAAAACTGAAAAAGATGACTTATCAGTTTTGGAAGTTAAACTAAAGGAAGAGCTTGACCTTGTAAGAAATCTGAAGTCAGAGCTTATAGCTGAGGCAGATAAATTGAAAGTTGAGAAGGCAAAGTTTGAAGTTGAGTGGGAACTCCTTGATGAAAAAAAAGAAGAGCTGGCGAAAGAAGCAAAATTGTTAGCAGAAGAAAAGATGTCGGTTTCAAGGTTTATTAAAGATGAACGTGAAAAGCTAAGACAAGAAAAAAATGAAATGCATGAGCAGTACACCCGAGACTTAGAGTCACTTGCCTGTGAGCGAGAAGAATTCATGGACAAGATGGCACATGAACATTCTGAGTGGTTTTGCAAGATGGAGCAAGAGCGGGCAGATTTCTTAAAGGACATTGAGATGCAAAAGAAGGAGTTGAATAACCTAGTTGAGAAGAGGCGTGAAGAAGTGGAAAGTTACTTGAAGGAACGAGAAAAGTCTTTTGATGAAGAGAAGAAAAATAAACTCCAATACATTAATGCTCTTGAGGAGAAAGCAAAAAAGGAGCTGGAACATGTTTCCTCTGAGATGAAAAGGCTTCATGATGAGCGAACAGAAATAAATTTGGATCGTGAACTGAGAAATAGGGAATGGGCTGAATTAAATAATTGCATTGAGGAACTCAAGGTTCAAAGTGATAAACTGCAAAAACAGAGAGAGCTATTGCATGCTGATAGAATCCGTATTAATGCTCAGATTGAAGAATTGAAGAAGTTGGAGGATTTGAAAGTGGCCTCTGATGATGTTGCTATCATTGAAATGCTAAAATCTGATATGGAGGCTAACCAGCAGAAGATCTCTGCACTGAAAAATTTGAAGCAGCACGCTCTTACACATCGTGATGGTTTCGGCAATGAGTTTAAAACTCCAGATGTACAGAAGTCAGCGGCTGTTTCTTCTTCTAGCCCTGTGCGGTTTTCATGGATCAAACGGTGCACTGAACTATTTTTCAGACCCCATCCTGATCAATCTCCAACTGAAAACAAAGATAAACCTCTGGTTTCTGGCTCCTATCATGATGGCAATAAGCAGAAGCTCTTAGAAAATGAGAAACCACCTGGTGATCATAGCAAGAGAGAGGAAATGGGGTTTTCTCTTGGAGAACCAAAAGTGATAGTAGAAGTACCTGCAGTTGCTGAAGATATGAGTAGGACAAATCATTTGGAATCTAAAATTAATGAAGATGTGAATGTAAAAACTGTCCCCTTCTCACAAGATGGACATCATGCGCGTAGACGGAAAAGAGGCAGTGGGAACTCTAATCGCGCTGTAGATCTAAGGAAGAATAAGAAACCGAGACCAGAAGAACCTGTGACTGATAATGCTTTAGATCAGAGTGTTTCCTACAGGTAGGCTTGTTTGGATTAACATTTATAAAATAACTTTTATCCCAATTGATTTTTGCAAAATGAAGTTGAGGTAAAAAGTCAATTTGTATAATATGCTTTTTGTTTGGCTATTCTTTGAAAAGTGAGTTTAACAAACTAAAACTTGTTTGGATGACATAATCAAAAATGTTTAAATGCCAAATGATTGAAAAGAACATGATTTTTATTTCACACACACACACACACACATGCATATAATTTGATACATCATATGCATATAATTTGATACATTTAAGAAAAATATTAAAAATTAGAATTATAAAAATAAAGAGTTAATGTATTATTGGGAATTATTTATTATTTTTTAATATTTTCTTTATTACAAATTTATTTGTGATGGTGAAAGAATGTCATAATTTTTTTTTTTTGGAAATATAAATTTGGGTATAGATAAAATTAATATTTTTTATTTTTACATAAAATTTAATGGGTTAATGACCCCCTTGTTGAAAGTAAGGTGTTTAAAATTATAAAAAGCAGTGTACTGTAAGACAAAAAATACAAATTGACGTGGCTTGAAGAAGATGTAACCTAACCCACCATGTGCACACAAAAGGGTGAGGCTGAATGAACACCAGAAGGCAAGTGAGGCAGAAGGGGCAACGTCATGTTGGAAGTAACAAAAGGTTGCTTTAAGTTTCAAGCTACTTTTGGGGGAGAGAAGAGTGTTTTCCCAAAAGCCATCCCAAACAAAAGTTTGGGCATAAACTGACTTTTTAAGCATTAGATGTCGATTTGGGCTCACCTAACTCGATGCCAAACATGCACATAATTTTTGGTCCTATGAATCTTTTTTGTGTCTATATTATGGTTCTTATTCATATTTTATGTAAATGTAGTCTGGTTGAACTACTGATGCGAAGTTATTGATTTTTTTCAGCGTGATTTCAACCCAATCAGATGAGGCAAACACCCAGCAGGTGCTTCCACCGTCAAATCAATGTCAAGGGAACTCGAAGGATACTCATGTAGTAATGGTGGATAAGGTGATCCATGTATCAGAAGTGACCTGTGAGAAAACTGATGCTGTTAACATCCCCACTCAAGGAACACGGGATTGTATGGGGAATTATAAATTGGAAGTGAATCAAGGTGATCTTCATCAAGAAATGAATGATCATTCAAATTCTCAAACTGAAGGCAAAGATATTTTACATTCTGGTTCAAGTGTATTGGGGACAACAGAAGAAATTGGCAAAGGAAGCACTGGATAAGTTACTGATCACCGTTAGGTATCAACTCGCATTCTAAACTATTGATATAGAAGAAACTTGCATCATGAGGATATTGACTATGCTCGTGTCGTATTTGTTACAATGATTTTTTTGCAGACTGTGTCTTGAAATGTATGATAGGAACCTTGCAATAGGTTTTGTTCTCTGTATGCAAATTGATATTAAAACACCTTTTAAGCTGTGTTGCTCAAGCTGCTGCATCTTATTTTAATAACAAAATATTGCTTTTTTTTTTTTTGAAAAAAAGATATTTTGGTGATACTGTTGATAGGAATTTTTCTACTTGAGGTTGATGACTCTTGTCATTTTTCATGGTTTCGCTCTGTTATGTGTTTTTGTCAGACTTAACGTGCTTTGATTGGTAATTTTTGAGCTTTTACTTTTATGGTAAACGCTTGTGGCTTCTGTGGTATAATTCCAGACTTTGCTTGACCCTAAGACTGGTATGACCTGAAAACTAGTTTTAGTTAGGGGCTGGATCATGCTGTGATATGATTTTAGTCTAGTAACTTGAATATTACTCATCTGTGAACTTTTTTGAGCTAAGCTCAAGCTTGATAAACCTTGATGCTATAAAGATTGCTAATGAAAACACCACAACCTTGCTCAGGGTTTTTCAATTTTGTGTGTGTTTAGAACATGATATAAAGTTTTCCTTTACTATTGCTTGTCCATGAATATGTTCTGAATTTATTTTATTCTGTGAACTTTAAACAATTATTTCATCATAATGCCCTGCTGATCCGTTTGACAGAAAATTGTTGTTGACCAACGTGTTGACATCCTAAGACTCTTGTAGGCCAGTTAAGTAAAAGCATTAACCCCCTGCTAGGTTGAAACTTTATATATCATCATCTCTTCCCTTCAATATATGTTGTTTTCTTTCTTTCTCTGTCTGCTGTTCTGCTCAGATGGTTGAGCAGTTGTTTGACTGTGAACAGGAATTGTAGCAAATGGAAATGGGGACTGGTACTAATAATTGAGGTTCTAAGAGTTCAAGGATATTATGTGTGTATAAGGTGCGTTAATACACATTTTAACATTTCTACTTGGACATTCCTCCGCCAGTTATATCTGCCTTTTGCTTTCTTTACGGATAATGGTGCATTTTGAAATATACCATGTTGATTAGATTCATTCTTCTGGAATCCAGGGCATTGATTTGAAGGAGATTTGAGGGGGTTCTTCTTTTGTTGTCTTCTACGGTAAATAATCACAGGTTGCGGTTTCGTGCTTTGTCCACATCTTATGTGAGCAAATGCAATTATGGTTGGTAGACTAGTGATATTGTAGTTATAATAGGAATGCACTGCAGTTCAAGTAGAGGAGAGTAAAGAGAAATGTGGTGAGGTTTGGAACAGAAAAAACTAGAAAAAGAATATAAGGAGGAAAAGGAGGTGTTCTGGCTTTTGAAAGAGCACCTTGTTATTGTAGCATGTAACGGCTTTGATTGAGTTTGTGTTACGGTCTTGTTTGTCATTTTTGTGTTTCTAACCTTAATTTGAAGTTAATGTGTAGCCGTTATGTTTATAACAGAGTGTTTATAACCGGTGATCACTTTTTTTTGTTTTATATATAAACGTTCCCCCCCCCCCCCGACATGTACTGTGATTTCCTCGCTACAATGTGCAAGTAAACAGATCACCCCAAGGCTTACACTGCAGGATTGATTGGTCGCATGTAATCACTTTTTCAGAAAAGTGGATAGATGTGCTACCAAACTTGTTCAGAAGATGCATGATATAAATACAGTCTCTGGCGTATGGGTTTATTTAAGGCCAGTTTGTCCGAAGCAAAGTACTTTTGATTTTGTTCCATTAATGTTGTGAAGGAGTATTTTTTGGGAATAAGGTGACGAGGTGATTTTAGTTAAGCTAAATGAATGAGTTGTTGAAAGACTTTCAAGCCAAATAATCTTTTCAACTTATTTTGAAAAGCCAATCTATAGCTTATCAAATTAAGCGTTTTTTTGGGTCAAGGCTTATCAAAATAATCTAGCAACAATTCTTAACACATCCTTTATGTTTAACTTGAGGTTTTATCAGCAGCTTCCTCTTTTGCTTAACTAAAATAATTTTCCCCCTTATTCTTAAACAACTGGCCCTTAAACTTAACCCCAAAAAAAAAAAATTTAAAGTGATTTTGATTAAGGTACGTGAAAAGTAGTTGGAGGAAAATGTTCTCAATTTATTTTGACAAGTGATTTTGATTAGCTTGTTAAAACAAGCTGAAAATAATTATAAAGCCCATTTAGCTCGAAACTCTCCCAATAACTCTCAGTTAGCTTAATTAAAATTACTGCTTTTATTAAGCATAAACAAAGGTCATATATCAAGCTATTTTAGATTTTATTGACCTTTTGAGAATAACCTGGTCTGGGTTGTGACTTTATCTCTGGCAGTGTCTTTTTTATTTTCTTTTATCTTTTTAAATGAGTTTGTCGCTAACGTGGGCATTTGAAATTTTGAATATGATCTTATCCAATTCAGCAAAATATTATGATATTTCATTAGAAGTCACACCGATTTTTCCTTATATAGTGATTATGAATCTTTTTCTTTTTTTTTGGGTCCCCTTATCTAACCGTGGATTCATCTCAACGTTCTCATATTTGCTATTCTAACTTTATATTTTTGTTGTCCTTTTGAAGCTCAGCATCTGTTTATATGGTACTATTAGAGTTATGGCAATTCAATAAACTGCCTTTTGAGCTTATTATATGCTTTTTGATATCAAATAACTGCTATACCATTTCTCCATTTGAATCTCCCAACTTGTATTTTATGCATAATATCTCCATTAATTTCACGTCTTGTATAATTTATCACAAATATATAAACTTTGCTACTTGTAGGCTAGCATGATTTGATCTCCTATTTTAATCTCCAAATTATCTCTAACTTCCATCTTATCAAAATTGTAATCTTATATTTTGTCTTATTCCCACTTAGCTAGAAACCCTTTAACTCGAATGTCTTTTTCCATAACTCCACAACATGAATTATATCATCAACGAAAAAAATGTACTTGGCATTATTTTTTGTATGTTTAACACTAGATTAAACGGATAGGAGCTCAAAAAATAATTTCTAATGTAGGTCAATTCTTATAAAAAATTGGGAGAATTACAATCAAGTCTTATAAAAAGAAAAAAAATTACAAAACAAATCCTAGAGATTGTCATTTTCTACTGTAAGACTTGTCATTACATGCTGCTCAAGTTGTTATTGGGACTTTTTAGTAATTATTTTCTTTTGTGAGACTTGATTGTAATTCTCCCTAAAAAATTTTTTACATCAAATTATTCTAAATTTTTATTTAAGGCCAGATATCTTTATTTTATGCAATAGAGGTAATATCTTAAAAGATTTTTGAAGATACTGTTTTTTTTAATATTTAAACTCTTTTAAGAGATATTGTTAAAAATAGAAATAGAAATGTGCAGAGTCCAATTGAAACGAGTTATAAGATCAATAAATAATATAAAATAAACTTCGAATTCTATACATTATATTAAATTCAAAAAATAAATCAAATTATTTATATGTTATAAATAATAAAGCATATTTTGATATTATATGTAATGAATTAAAATTAAAAATTATTTTAAAAGAATAAAAATATTGTTCAAAATTACCAAAAAAATGTTCTAAATTTTAAAAAGGCCACACTATTTACTCTTGTAAATTTTATGCTTTTTATATTTTGGATTCACATCCATGGATGATATATTGATTTATATACTATTTTGTATTATTATTTCTTTAATTTTTTTTTCCACAAAAGCACAATCCACTGGGTAATACTAACTACTAAGAAAAACCTTAAAAAACGTTGATTATTTAAAAGCGAAAAGAATCTAACAACCGAAGATGGACCTTCAAACTGAGTTATGACTCGAGAGGGAGATTCACCAAACCCAGTAGGCCAATACAATAGTGAGTCTGTGACCGTACCGCCCTGCGCTGTCTCTGCTTTGAGTGCTTTCTCATTGCTTCCTCATTTGACTTCATTTCAGAGACACGCAGACAGATATGGAGACCAGCGCCGTCCTTCCGGCCACTCTACCTACTTCTCCGATCTGCCCCTCTCGCCACTCTTCTGCGTTCCTTCCTCTACCCTTCGCCAACCTCAACTCTTCCTCGCTTCTCTCTCTCACGGTACTCACTTTTCTTCGTTTATCGTTCCTTAGTCCTCAAAATCTCACTTACAGGTTAATGCTCATTTTCTTCGATGCAATTTATCGTTGACTTTGAACCCATGTTTGCAGCTTCGAAAGCAGTTCCCTTTCGCTTCTCAGAATGCCATGCGAGCTGCTTCTCCTCTCAGGCCTTATGCTTCTCTGTCCGATGCTCACAGGTCTCTGCATTATAGTATTATTCTTTACTCTCGTCCTAGTAATGCTTTTATTTGGTTTTATTTACTTATTGTTTCCATAGAACCGGTCTTCTTTATGAGTTGGTATATTTGAGACGCTGGCCCTGTCACTGCTTATGCCTATCAAAACACCATCTTTCGTCTGAGATATGCTTTCTTCAAGGGCTACCTTCTCTTACATTTTCCGTTCTCCAATGATCAGTTGCGACTATATTAACTGGCTATAAAAACTATAAAAACTGAGAACAAATTGACCTATTTGCTAAGAATGATAATTAACTGGCTAGCCTGTTTCACTCTGCTTTCATCTCTAAGTAAGTTGGGGCTAGTAGATGGGAGAATTATGTGGACCATGCAAATACAATTTAAGCCGTTCATTGGAAATAGTTTTGTTTCTAACTGCTCGATATTCCTTCGGAAGATTTATCACATGATACAATCTTTTGTTATAAATCACTTGATTTGTGTCTTACGGTGCGTTTGTGAATGCTGCAGCGGAACAATTGATATCGCCGACATAGACTGGGATAGCATTGGATTTGGCCTCCAACCTACCGATTATATGTACATAATGAAATGTAATAAAGATGGAAACTTTTCCAAAGGTGAATTACAGCGCTTTGGGAACATCGAAATGAGCCCCTCAGCTGGAGTTTTAAATTATGGACAGGTTAGCTTCTTCTTCTTCTTTTTTAATCCGTGCAGAAAATTATGTTCAGGCTAAGCGTTTTGGGATAGTATATATGCTTGGGAGAATTACAATCAGGTTTCAAGGAAAGAAAATAATTACTGGTAAGTGTCAATGATGAGTGTGAGCAGTTGTCATTCATTATCCTAGAGGATGTCATTGCAGGCTGCTTCATTGTCACTGAGACTTTTTAGTAATTATGTTTCTTACTTGGGACTTCATAGCAATTCTCCCCATATCCTTTAAGATGTCAAAGTTCAATTAAGAGCTAATACTAAAATTGTTGACGAGAAATTTGAGTTTTCAAATTCATTCATGGTGTTTATTGTTACTTTTATCTTCTTCAATGTGTGCTCATGTGCACCTGAGAATAAGTGGACACTTTCGTTTCATCTTGATGAGAACCTGATCGATGAACCTTAGTAATTGGCCGAGGAGTTATGTTATCTGGTGGGTTTTTTTTTTCCTTCTTATCTGGATTTAATATGCATATATGTCCTAGGCCTTTTCAAGAACCTGGCTGGGCCTTCCAACAGATGTGGTTCGAATGATGAATTTTTGTTTTTCTATTTGGAAAAAAAATGAGGCTTTGATTTTCAACTGCAATTGTTTTTCTAAAGAATTTGTCTCCCTATGTTGGACACGATTGAGGAAAACTTGAAAACAGTTGTTGCAGGAACAGTGATGAACTTAATCTGTTATGTAGTTGTAATAATCTGTGACTGTAATTGAAGTCTAATTAGTATCCTTTCTATTTGAACCTGATTTCTTCATGTTATGTTTATTTGTTCAATAATCTATTTCTCTTCTTCACTGTCGCCTATTATAGGGATTATTTGAAGGTCTAAAAGCTTACCGTAAACAAGATGGGAATATACTCCTCTTTCGTCCAGAGGAAAATGCTCTGCGGATGAAGATTGGTGCTGAGCGGATGTGCATGCCATCGCCTACTGTGGAGCAGTTTGTGGAAGCTGTAAAGGCTGTGGTCATAGCAAACAAACGTTGGGTACCATTTAATCTTGTCACTGTCGTAAAACAATTTATGGTCTGTGGCTTTGTACTGGATATCAGATTCATCAGTGCAAATTATTTTTCAGGTTCCTCCTCCAGGTAAAGGTTCCTTGTATATTAGACCGTTGCTAATGGGAACAGGAGTTGTACTTGGTCTCGCACCTGCTCCAGAATATACCTTTCTAATATATGTTTCACCCGTTGGAAACTACTTCAAGGTTAGGTATTCTATATTTTTCACAACAATTGAAGTGTTTACTTCTCTACTATTAAGGCATATCTTCCTTTTGTTTGAATCTTTTCTCATCATATTCTTTGTGCATATATAAATAATGAAATTAAAAGGTTATCTTGTGTTTTGGATTAGAATCTTAAAATGAGGTACTCCTTTGGTCCTAAGTGTAAAACCCATTTTGTAGTGTGTACTATTAAATGGGTTCTACATTTAAGACCAAAGGGAGTAACTTTTTGGAGGATGCACTCCAAAATGGCTTAGTGTTGAGGGGTTGTGAGTAGTGTAAAGAATTGGATGCATTGGTAGGAAAAATAACAATATTTATATGATTCATGTTATTTGCTGATGTCAGTGTGGCTGAAGAGGTTGAATCTATGTTTTAGGGAAAAATTGAAGCAGTGTTATAGGCCTGCTCACTGTTTACCTGTACACATGTTTTATTTTCTAATTATTCTATGGCTATTTGTCTTTAAGTTGTAATGATTACTTATCTTACATGCCTCTTAAAATTTAAAATATATATATATATCATGACAGGAAGGTTTGGCGCCTATCAATTTGATTGTTGAGAATGAATTTCATCGAGCTACTCCTGGTGGCACTGGAGGTGTGAAGACCATAGGAAACTATGCTGCAGTAAGCCATCTTTGCAAGCCTTTTTCTGTTTCTTTTGCTTTGCTTAAATTCAGTGTGAGATGTCCTTTTCCGCTTGCTTTAAAATTCCAGTGCTCCTGTCACCCCAAAAAAAAAAAAATACAGTTTTCCAAAATTTCTCATCTTTGTAATTTTAATCAGAGTAAAACTATTAAATTAAAAAACAAACAAATGACTTGCCTTCTTGTGCTTTTGAAGTTAAGATTGGGTTTTTCTCGTACTACGTTCTGTTTCTTTTCTGCATGCAACCTCGGGGACCGCACTTTGATTTTACTTTTGTAACATCCAGTTCGGATGGTTGACTTGAGTAATCTTTGGTTCTTGGTAACTTTTGAGATCTCATTTCTTGCTACTGGCATGCTTTAATCGAGGTTCTTCTCAAGTTCGTTCTTTCTTTCTTCCTTGTTTTTCAAATTTTTTCCTCAACTTATTCCATATGTGTGCATGCGCCCATTTGTGAACTTCAATTATTTTTCCAGGTGCTGAGGGCTCAATCTGCAGCAAAACAGAAAGGCTACTCTGATGTTTTATACCTTGACTGTGTGCATAAAAAATATTTGGAGGAGGTTTCCTCCTGCAACATTTTTGTTGTCAAGGTACTGGACTCAATCATATATGATTTGCCATTTTGCCCATCACCTTTCTCAATAGCGAATTGCAATATGACATGTAAATTGGGTAGATAATTTTAATCACAATACCTAAACTATTTATATTAGACTTTGTCCTAGCTTCTGCCTAACTTGTAATTACTGCTGAGTTTATCCTTGGGCTCTTTTATGCTGATAAGTAAAAATGTAATTAGCGTACAATTATTATGTGCATGTTCTAAAATTTTTCATTCTTGTGGTATGTTACTATGGTTTTTGTACTCTGTTCTAGCCTTACTTCATTTGAGCAACACTAACGTATGTGACTATCACTTTGCCCTGTGTCCTCCTTCATGTTTTACTTGAGCTTACCACATTATGCTGGCCTTATTTTCATGTTATTGTAGGGTAATGTTATTTCAACTCCTGCTATTGGAGGGACTATCTTACCAGGCATCACTCGTAAAAGTATAATTGATGTTGCTCGTAGCCAAGGTTTCCAGGTATTGGATTCAGTGAATGGATTCTTGATGAATGTTTTTCTGCTTAAAATCTAGCATTTGGGCTATTTTATTTCTTACATAGCTTGCCTTTGCTATTAAAATTTGCAAAAACTCAATGATGTGTATACTAAGACAAGTGGTAAATCTAGACCTGCATGTTGAATTATATTTATTATGAGAGGAATTTTGGATCTTTCCTAATTTCAAGTTTTCTTGGGTAAAATTGAATGATTAATAATGTGCATGCTACTGAAGTTCCACTCGAGTCTCTGATACTCAAAATTACATTTTACGACTTGGGATCTAATTCCCTGAGAAGTCATCTATGTGACCTCTCCCTTTCTCTGCTTAGTCACTTTTTCGAGAATCTTGATTTGATTGCAATGATTTCTATTGGTGTTTTTAAGTCCGCAAATATGATGTAGAAGACGAATTATTTTGGGATGTAAAGTCTTTCCTAACAATTATGGGGGAACCCTTCGGGCATCTGCAGCTTGGGTATTGATCACTCCTGTTTCTTCCTTGCCTCATGCGCCTTTTCATTTCTTTGTCACGAGCATACCAAGAAGTCATCTAAATCCACTCAAGACAACAATCTTGCTACTACTTCCCTTGGAAAAGACTTTGTTAGACTTCCAATCTTGCTATTAGTACGAGGCTGAAGCATCCTAGTTTTTCTATTATCACGAGCCAAAAGTACACATAAGTATTTTCATTTCCTTATGATCCCGGATATATGCAGGTTGAGGAGCGACTAGTATCGGTTGATGAACTATTTGATGCTGATGAAGTCTTCTGCACTGGGACAGCCGTTGTTGTGTCACCTGTAGGAAGTGTTACATATCTTGGCAAGAAGTAAGTTTCAACCACCCAGAACAATTTGCAATGGTGCATTTAAGTCATGAACAAACAGTTTCACGTGCAGCAAAATGCGTGAAAATTAGTACTGGGAAGCAAAATGGAACAGATTTATATGCAGCTATTCAGTTACTTGCTTTTAGGTTCTATGATCAAACTATGACTAGGAAATGTTTTGTTACTGAATTGGTAAAAATTGCCCACGTGTTTTTATTGAAGAACATCAATAGCAAATACCCAATAAACTGCATCTATTTGTTGAATACATAGTACATAGTGGGTATTCAATTCCTCTTTTGTTCTCATGTCATAATGTTTTCATTGAAGAACTTTATGACAAATATCTGATAAACTGCATCTAAGCAAACAAAATTTACCACCATATGCTTCTATATATTGAAGAAAGTACACTTTGGACAATTTGGTTGGAGTTTCTAAGTGGACATTGCTGACAGGCATGGTGGGTTGATGTGAGAATGACAAAATAATGTTGGTTGTTTAATGTTTGCAGGGTACCATATGGAGAGGGTGGTGTTGGAGTTGTGTCACAGCAACTATATAGTGTTCTTACAAAATTGCAGATGGGTCTCATAGAGGATGAGAACAAATGGACCGTTGAGCTGAGATAGGCATTATACAGATTGCATCCTTTGCCAAAATCACAGTCCGAGCTTTCACAATTCCACTATGATTTGGAATATATTCGTTTAGTTTTTTTTTTTTTTTGTGCATAATCTTTAAGAGTTTTGAACTTTTATTCTCAAATCAAGAATATTATTTGTGAATTTGCTTAATTTTACAAGTGTCTTAATTATGCTGAATTTGAAAATGCCTAAATAATAATGTATTTCTTCTTACAAAGGATCACAGCAGTCAATTAACTAAGAAGTTTCTGTCCATTTACAAGATACATATGCCAGAATTTCTTAGAGATGCATACAACATCTCAAACCAAATCTTAAAGAAAAGGATGATAGAAATATTGAATACACGAATTCCATATACTTATATTAAATTTTCCTAACTCAAAAAAAATCCAAAATATTTGAGGTTCCAATCATATCCCATCCCTCCTTCCCCATCATCGGGTCGCTCTTTGTATACCTTCTTCCATATCATATTCGATCAATTGTACCCAAAAAAACAAAAAAACCCAGAACAAGTTGTAGCCAAAAAGTATCAGAAAACTTCTATTCATTTATTTTAAGAAAAAGCAAGGCTTCTGGAATTGTTGGTTAAGCCATCGTCCCAAAAACAGATGTTTTATTTTGGTACCTTTTTTAATTATTATTTTTCTTATGAGCTTCAGCATAGGGGACATAAGCTCCGAGTGGAACAACTTAAGAATTATGAATTTTGAGCGTTTTCTCAAATATAACAGTTCAGGAAGTAATCGACTAAATATGTTAAGTAACTCAGTAGTCTTTCTCAGATTAAGAGGATCATAATTATTGTGTTAGATAGATCAACTCAAAGTCGTCCGCCTATCTTACAAATACAAATGAGTCCGTCTAGCAATTTGGTATAAATTTTATATTAATATATTGCCATACTAATTGACCAGTTTAGATCTTAGAACTGGAAATTTGTCACACCTTCACACTTGGTCTCATTGTTGAGAAAGTCACCTCTTGTGCGTAATTTAATGCAATTGTTGACTAGTAAAACCAATTTACTGTGTACGTTTTACAGTACATCTTTGACCTCAACCAACGTTCTAGAAATTAAATCGAAGAAAGATGGAAAAGCCAAGCACACCACTGGGTTTTAAATTATCAAGATTACCAAATTAAGAAGCATCCTCCACAATACGATAACGATGTTAAAATGACTTGACTAATATTGTACTTTTTGGCCCGTTTCTTAAAAATAAAGGTTAACAGTGTTAATAGTAATTAATCAAGCATAAAATTGAGAAGCAGATAGTGAAGGAAGTGGACATGAGCTGGATTTCATATGAACTTAGTCAGAAAAATAGACTCTTTCAAAGGTATTAGGTCCACGATTACCCAAGCAAAATGTAAAGAGAGGTGAGCGATATGTGGGAGATGGTGGCCTACCATGAAGACCATTTCCTTTATCTTGTTGAAAAGTTGAGTAACTTTTCTTCACTTCCAATCTTCAAAGCACGAGATCCATTAACAATTAACAAACACAGTTAAAAATAAAATAAATTAAATAAACTTCCTTTTGCTTTCTTTGACTTTTGCTCTCCACACTCCATTCATCTTTCTCAGTAGTTTCTTGCGTGCAGCTGGGGTTAATGTGGCAACATCTCCACAGATTTTCCTCTACTATGTTTCCATAATTAATATAATGAGTTTTATTTTACCTCCATTAGTATGTGTTTACAAAATATTAATCACAGGTGCACTAATTAGGGGAAAAGAAAAATAGCACATTATCGGCTAATTTGTAAGGTCTCTTTTCTTTGGATAACGTAAATTATTTATTTCTAAAATTATATGAGCAGCTAGCTAGCAAGCCAGTGCTTAGATTATTTTTAATTTGCATGTGATGCATGCTCTAACCTTATCCCTCAATATCAATACCAAACTATTTATAAAAGTTGTAAGAATTCATACTGTTTGCAAGCTTTAAATAGTATGGCTTATCTCATGTTATTTATAAATAGAAATAAAGCTCACTCCAGTTTTATGAAAATGTGAAATTTACATGACTGTAAAGATCGATGATTTGTGACGTAATGCATGTGATAAAAGTAAGGTTAGCTGCGTAATATATTTATACTTTGGCCCTTTGGTGAAAAAGGCAGGTAATAAGAAGGTAACTAGTGGATTTTTATTAGTCATATTTGTTGAGCCGTTAGTACATGATTGATATCTCTTTAACTGCATATCTGAGGATTCAGGATTAGTAATGGTATTTAATTAAATTAATTATGTCTTCTGAAAAAGAAATTAGTTATATCAATGCTTCATATTTACCAGGCTATCTGCATACATTGCTGCTTACTTTCAGACCTCTTTTTCCATTTTCAAAATTCATAAAGACATATGTTTCAAAGTGGGGGGAATCTTCAAACAAGGATCATTAAGCGGCCATTTGGCCGCTTACCTACCTTAACGAAAACCGTGCTGTAATATAATATAGTAATATTATATAATGTACTAATTCATTTATCACCGTTATCTTTCTTTGTATTCTCACAGCTCTTTTTTTTCCCCCCTTCCCGTTGCATCTCTCTATTCCTTCCTCTTTCTCATCTTCCACTCTTTAATCTGATTACCATTATTGTTTAATAAATCAAGGTGATACAAAATTTATCTCGTTTTCAATGTTATTTTCCGTGGAGTGTAAATACGACCAGTTCAGAATGGTGGGTTTTTTTTTTTCTAAAATAAATACCAACTGGTTTTTGCAACATGCATTATTAAAAGGGATTATATGATTGTAAAAACTCTTCAGCAATTGCCAAACTCTTGTATCCTAGTAAATAAGAATTCACTGGTTTAATCTCATTTATAAGATCAGCTTATCAGTAGTGCTTCCCCTTCTAAATCGAAAAGAAAAAAGCTTTTCCGAAACTCGAACAGAAGATTTTACTGAAGAAAAGGGGAATTACACAATTTGAATTAGCTTTGCTGGGTAAAATGGTGGCTTTTTAATATTGTTGTTCTGGAAGGACAAGTATGACGTCTCCATATTCTTTTCATGCGCAGTGGAGGAGTCATACTTGGTCTAGGTATTATGTAATGAAGGAACCATTCAAACCCATATCGGATCACTTTAACCATTTCTACTTGGCCCCACTAATTGCATCCACATTCATGTTTTATCAACTTTATATCATCATCCGTCCATCCATCAATCCCTTCCACACCAATAATTCGTACCACCGCCATTAAATATATATAAATGGTATATTTAATAATATGAGAGAGGATAGGTGGGAAAAGAAGATAACCATGTAATAGATTCTACTCTAAGAAGGACACAATAAGAAAAACATCCGTCTTCTGCACTGGCTTCCCCAATCTATTGGTTATTTAATTCATGAATAAAGCTTCGTCTTCATTTATTTATTTTTCTAATATTCACCTTTTTGAAAACCCAGCTGCCTCTCGCCATCTCCAGGCTGCTTTCACTCTCACCTTCTCTTTATATATATAGAACCACCAATATTTTCATTACCTTCATCACCATCACACCGGCGGCCACCATCATCCTCCTTGACGAGAGAGGTTGGCTTTATTTAAAAGTGATCCATACTCTCAAATCAGTCCAATCGGTAAACACAGAGAGAGTACAAATAGAAGGAAGGATCGATGGGGAGGGCTCCTTGCTGCGACAAAGCCAACGTGAAGAAAGGGCCATGGTCGCCCGAGGAAGACGCCAAACTCAAAGCTTACATCGAGCAGCACGGCACCGGCGGCAACTGGATAGCGCTTCCTCAAAAGATAGGTATATGAATTAATTGACGAGTCATCTTTCATTCTGATGAATATACCTACATTAAACCGCTACTAGTTGTGCCCTTGTTGATTCAGAAATCAAAATTCTGTATACACTAAACTGGCTTGTTATTGTGTATCATTTGGGTGTGGTTAGGACTTAAGAGATGTGGGAAAAGCTGTCGTCTCAGATGGTTGAATTATCTTCGCCCCAACCTCAAGCATGGGAGTTTCTCAGAAGAAGAAGACAACATAATTTGCAGCCTCTATGTTAGTATTGGAAGCAGGTAATTAATGAGTTAATCGTACTGTTCACAATGTTAAACAAGCATAAAAGATCATGATATTTTTCTTCTTTTGGAGAATAGTTGTAACATCTATATAATAAATGTGCACAGGTGGTCTATAATAGCGGCGCAATTACCAGGGAGAACCGACAATGATATAAAGAACTACTGGAACACCAGGCTGAAGAAGAAGCTACTGGGGAAGCAGCGTAGGCAACAAGAAGCCCAAGCTCGCCGAGCTAACACGCTTAAGCAAGAACTTAAGAGACAGACTAATAATTTGGTGCTGATGAACCAAGCTCCTTCTTTGTCTGTGCATCAGCCCTCTGCAAGTGCTTCGATCCAAGAGTCCTACGATCTCAACAATAATCTAAGAAACCTTTTAACTAAACTAGGTGGAAACTTCTCCCCTGATGATCATATCCCTCAATACCCATATGAATGTGACCCTTTCTTCTTCCCCCAAGACCAGCTATATCCAGTTCCAAACTCAGTGATAAACGATTGCAGTACTTCGAACGTCTTTGAAGGATTTCAAATTGAAAACTTGCCGAGTAATGATTTGAGCCAGATGGGCTGTGTGAACACTACTACGCAGCAAATGGATGGATTTCAGAGTTGCAGTGGAGTAATGGAGTCGTCTACGGCCACCACTTCAACGGAAAGTACCAGTTGGGCAGACATGAGCTCTCTGCTTAATTACTCTCCGAACATGGTTTCCGAATACCAAGAAATAATGTTGCCTCAAGATGTTGCTTTCGAGGATTCTGCCTACTTTGGACACAATAATAACTTCTCTGTACATGGGATGGTCTGAATTTTGTAGTGCTCCTCGCACAAAACCTTAACGATCGATTTCACTTTCACCCTTGTACGTGATTCCATTATCTTAGTTGTTAGCTTTGCTTTTTCGTTATATCAAAGAATTCTTAATAAATTAAGACCTTTTAATTCCAAACATGGTAGTGGTACAGCTCGTACCGGGCCTAGCCAGATACAATCCACAAGTGGCACTCGAAGTTCAGTTTGAATGATGAGTTCATGATGATAAGCTTATATATTCATCAATCATTCTTTTGGGAGTTCGCATATTCAGAATATACATATATATATATATATATATGCACCTCGCTGAAACTCATGGCTGAATAATAATTGATGAAGCATTCACTGAGTTTTTTTCTGAAATACGAGAGCAAAAGGCTGTGGAAATATAGGAAATTGGTATGACGTTTTGGCTGCGACTTGCTGGGCTTTAGCAGCAAGAGCATCTTAATCTGACTGTTTCTTCTTATAGTTTTCTTGGCGTCTGCTATTTGATAGGTGTACATCCTCATGTGACTCCAACTGGGACTATGAATCCATATGAAGCCTTTAACTAGCCTTTTATATATGTTTTTCATCTTTTTATATAGTTAGCCACCTGATAATTCACGATACATATCCATGCTTGGAACTTGAAATCAAGCAAGTGCATGTCCCCTTTTTTTACAGGGAAAAAAACATTCTTCAAGGAATTGGGAAAGGGTATATTGCTAAAACATCGTTTTTCAAGTGCATGCATATCTTTCATGTGTTTAGACATACGTTTGGCTCATGTTGGTACTGAAATCATTTTCGACGAGGAAAGTTAAAGACAGATCAGCCAAAACTAGCATGATTGTTTAGTTTTGTTATCAGCACATATAGATACATAGAAGAATGCTTGCGTACTGTAAAAATTTGTCGTTGAGATCATTTTATCAAATAGTTTTCTTTCAACTTCAGATGTTTTTCAGCAACCAAGTTGGTATTCGTAGAACAATGCGTCTTATAACCCTAAATAAAATAGGTATATATATGTGTTTTTGGGGGAAATGGTAACTTTTTTTTAAAAATGATTTTGCTCATTATTTTAATTGTTAAACCTATGACACTATATGAAAAGACATTTAAGAAATAAAATTAAAATCACATGTAGCCTAAAATATATGTAACGGTTACACCAAAACTTGAGAAAAATTGTGTGTTCATATAACTTAATTATAAATAGTGTGATTCTTATAAATGTTATATTTATATATATTGACATTGATTAATACTTGCAATTATACATATGTATGTATGTTGAGTTAAAGAGAAATAACTGGTTTAGTATGAACTGTCTGTTGTATTTGAATTACGTGTCCCTTAATACTCGAACGATTTAGATATTACAATTAAGGGTTAGTCTAATTAGTGATGATTCAACTCATACATCACAAAGGCTCAAGAATCTCTCTGCAGCAATTCTTTAAGTTTTGAAGCACACTTTAAATCTTGGTGGTCTCTAATTTGGAGACCCAACTCATTTATACATTTTATTGTAAAAATAAAAGATAGACATATAAAAAATTATTGGATTTTTTTTATCCAACAGTACACGTAGAAATCAGAAAAATTTAAAGTCGTTTACAGAGCATATATGTTGGGATACTGCAATCTTGTTCATGAATGAGGTACGTAAACTTGTTTGTAAATGGAGAAAGGATATGTAGGGCACATTAAACTAATAACCTTAACCTTATAAATTTATCATTATAGACCTTGTTATATAATCAAGTCCTTCCAAAATATTTGTCAAATATCTTTAATTTGTAATAACATATATATAACGAGTAAAAGCAAGAGAGAGGGGAGGAGAGAGAGAGAGAATAGGGCATAGGCTCAGGACAAGCTGATTTGTCATGGACAAATTATAATTAGGTATGGAGCCTTTGGTTCGTATATGTGTGTGGGAAAATTGCATTAAAGTCCTACTTAAGAAAATTAAATATAATTTTTTTTTAAAATCATCAAATTAATTTAAAGTCCTAAGACACCTCACTGCAAAAAATTCCATTTGTTCAGTTAATAAGTTGTCTTTATCTTTCTTTTTTTTTTTTAAGTATGCATTCATAACTAAAAAGAACTTTTTAACAACATAAGGTACAACAATTACGGCAAGTATTAATTAACCACACATTTTTTTAGTGCATTACAAAGATTTAATTACTGCCGTGATAGTTATGTTGTTAATCATTGTACTTTAAGTTATTAACAACTATCTTTTCAGTTGTGAATGCGTTCTTAAAAAAAAAAATATTAAGGCAACTTAGTAATTGAACAAGTACAATCTCTTACAATAAGATTCCTTGGGACTTCAGATTAATTTGATCATTTCAAGAAACTTTTTTGCATTTGATTCTCTTAGATGGAATCGTAGAACTCTTCCGGTCCTTAATATAAAACCTATTTAACTAATTTGATTAAATTAAAGAAGTTAGGTAAGTTAGTTAATTACAAGAAATATGATATGTTTTTCCTAAAATACCATTATCATCTTTCTTAATATCCTTTCTCCATCTTCTATTCGATTATGGTTGAGAGAGTATCTATAAAGGTAATTTAGAAAAAATTGATAAATATGAAAAATAGGTCTTACATTTAAGACCAAAATCAACTCAATAATTAGGTCCTATATTAAAGACAGGAGAAGTATAATTTTTCCTGTATATATATGGCATATTCCCTTAACCAACGGGCATGGTCCATTCATATGCATATAAATTTAATGGTAAATTTTGTATATATGTTTCTTTGTTCTGTCAACTGGAAATTAGCTTCATATATATAATAGAACCAGCTTATATATGCAAGTCTTAATCCAATAATTCTGACAAAAAGAACTCTTATTACAATAATTCCAAACACTATTCTATGTATCTGATGAATCTTGGACATAACTCACTAAAATTTTTGTTATAAAAAATATTAAAAGCCGCCCATCATGTATGTGTCATAAAGGTGTAATATATCTGCATGATTTAATCATACATACATGCAATGGAAGTAAGGAAATTTTTACTTTTGAATTATTCTATATATATAAATGTGTGATCAGTTGACTAATAATTGGTTGGAATTGGTGTAAAGGAGAAAATGTAAAAAAGTTTCAGATTTTATAATTAAGGCGACGAGCTTTCCTGCAAGTTATATATATAAATGATTAAATAAATAAAGGCATATAAGGTCAAAGCTGGCTAACTCATCAAAACAGCTTGATCAAAAAGGAGTTGTCAGAGTATTCAACTTTAATAAAATGACCAATTTAATATGTAAAAAACTTGACTTCAACACTCGTATTGTATTGGCGGCCAAATATCATTTTCACATTTGTGTATATACCTTGACTTATATTGTTTTCAATTTTCTTAATTACTGGGTTGATGTTGATAGTTAAATAATTGTCAACGTTGATAACACAAACTTCTCATCCTGCTGGCAGCACACAGTCCAAATTTCAAACCATTTTTTGTTCTTAGTTTTATACATATTATATAAAATAAAGTATACTTTTAGTTTTTTAACTTTATACAATATTTTATTTTGGTTCCTTAATTTTAAAAAGTAAACTTTTAATCTTCTAATTTTAAAATTGTTAGCAAAAACTGATGATATTGAGTTCTTGAATGCTGATAAAACATTACTAAATACTAACATATTAAATTTAATATTCAAAACAATTATGATTGTTACAAAAAATTATCATTTAAAACTAATAATTTTAGAGGTTAAAGGACTAAAAGTATATTTTTTAAAATTAAGGGATTAAACTAAACCCTTGCATAAAGTTACAGGACTAGGGGGTGTTTGGGGAGCTGTAAAAGTGATTCTCAAAAGCACTTTTTCGCAAATCAAGATAAACTCCTCTACATATTTACTTCGTCTACTATAAAATCATTTTTAAAACTATAGTTTTGTTTTCATCCAAACACCCCTTAAATAGCCTATTATATATGTGTGTGTGTGCCCGCGCGGGCTCAATTCTTCATCTTCTAGTCGGCATTTCAATTTTGATTTTGATATATAATATCACAGAAAGCACTTTTAAATGAGCATAATTTTTTTAACTTGGAACCAAGAACAAAAAAAAAAGGGGGTTAATTGTTAAGGTGAGTGATTAAGACTTGTTTGAATTGACTTCCACTCATGAGCATGTTTCATGTAAATCTTATATTTTGTAAATCACGATTGAAAAACTATTTATAAGTATTTTTAAATGTTAAGTGTTATTAGCTGTAAGAAAAAGAAAAATATGTTATTGGAATTGTTTACTACATGTTGGCCGCATATGTCTATATCTTAATACAAATTGACCCCTTTTTTATATATAATTTCTCGATAAGAAGAAACTAGCAAGCCAATAATACAAATTTATTTCCCCAACCCCTCTTGTGTGTGTGTGTGTTTTTTTTTTTTTTTCATTTTCCATATCTTTTCTACTTGTGTTGCTCTTACATTAATTTTACCTGAATTATTGAATCGCAAGCCTATGCTTAAATTGAATTCTGTATTTGATTGACCTTAAATTGAATTCTCTAAGTCGATCGTGTAATTATACATAAGAAGACCGAAGAGACCAAAAGGATAAGATTCACTTAGTGTGAGTGTCCTTTCTTTCTTTCTTTCTTTTTTTGGGGTTTCTTTTTCGGTTTGTGTCCGTATGAAATCTAACTAGACATGCTCGAAATTTTACTATAATTATTATTGATTATTTTTCTTGTCATGAAAAGAAAAGATAAAATTTGAAGGAAGGGATGGGGGGAGTAACTTTATTTGACCAAAAAACAATGAAAACGAAAACGTAGCTTCAAAGAAAATAAACTCAAGGGCATGGAGAGGCAGTACAGGAAGTTTCCAGAGGGCTATTGGATTTGTCTGCAGAATTTATACTAAAAAAATGAAAGGGACAAAGGTGGTAGGGTGAGCCATGACATATTCAACAATATAAGAAAAACAAAATGAAAAGGACAAGCTGTGTGAAATCATAAATGTGAATTGAATCAAAATGCCTTCCATGCCATATGCCACTCACTCCTTAATATAATATTTGTAGTCTCTTTGCAGATGGTAAAA